ATGAGTTGAGCCAAATGGAGCTTCTTGCTTTTGATTTTCTTTAACCTGAGGCGATAGCTTCAAGAAAAAAGCTACGCTAAGCAGTTTCCAATTAGAAAAGAGTAGAAAAGTGAGGAACTGTTGTTTTACGCACCACATTGTTACGTATATTCGCTTGTTTCACGTGTTATAAAAATGTGATCACACAAGAGGCTCGTTTCGTTTCGTTTAACTTTGATTCTTCGTTAACTGTGATTATCGAACCTTCAGGCGACCGAGAGATTTGCTGCTGCACTTTTGGTGGTGGCTTTGGTTGTGGCTTTTGTACCTATTAAATATATTGTCCTGTTGGGTTTCTTGGACACGTTTACTAGATACTCGCCAATTCGAAGAACCAATACAGAAAAATGGATGAGAAGATTAAGGGATTGGTGGTTTAGCATACCTGCAGCCCCCGTCTCTCTTGAGAGAATCAACGAAGATAAGAAGAACAAGTAATGCAAATATACTTTTTTTTTTTTACATATGCTGTCTTGACTGTAAATTATGTAACCATCTTCCAACCTCTTACTCTGTGCTAATTAATGCATATTGGCTTCATGTGCTGCGATGTGTTGCAATTTTTCTCGTTCAATTTTTATTACTGAGTTTGTATGTGCACATTGTGGAAAAATATTTCTTTAGTTCTTTTAATTGATGACTGTACCAAGTATTTGAATTATCAATGGAGTAATGTCCAGATGTGTTGCAAATAGAGTACATTTTTTTTTTTCAATTTTATATGTACTTGCAGGTTTCGATGATCATTTTAATTTATTTAAAAAATTAAATTGGATATATTAGATGAATTAATGTCTAACCAACAGTTCAATTTACTTATTATTTAAAATTATGAAATAAGAATTGAATAATAGAGTCCCAATAAAAATGCAATAGAGAAAAACCATCGTTTTATTATTATTATTTATTTTTTTTAATGTTGTACCAACATTTAGAAGTACATTTGAGCAGGAAAATATGTTACGGCTCCTACTTATAAATCCTACTTATAAATTAATAAAAATATATCGGCTACCACATCAATTTCACGTCAAGTTCAGTGCTCAAAACTTATTTTGGGAAAAAATTCATGCAACTCCAAGGGTAGTTTAAGGGAAAATTTCATGGTATTCATGGGTAGTGTTTCCACGGGGTTTTAGCTTTAAAATTAAAACATTAACATGATTGTGTGTCATCTTGGATGCTAAAAAGACCAACGATGACAATTTGACTCAAACCTGTACTGACCACCCCCGTCCCGTGGCCTTTGTAAAACATTAAACATGATTGTGTGTCATCTAAATCTTGGATGCTACAAAGACCAAGGATGACAATTTGACTCGGACCAGTACTGACCCACCCTGTCCCGAGGCCTTCAGTAGAACAATTCTCAATCGACTAGCTAGCTCAGTACAACTTTATTTTACGTTACATTTATGCAAAATTAATTTAACTTAAATGAATTAATTTCTCACTAATGTAATTTTACTAAATATATTTCTAATTATTTAAAATATAAATTTCAGAATAATAGTAATTTCCCCTGTTATGGATGCAATTATTTTCAGATACTTGATCAGTTTAGTTATCCACGAAATCTTGGATGCGTCTCATGGATTGTGACTGCTTATGTGGATCATTAGATGCCGACATTTACATGAGAATTTCAGAAGGAATTAGAATGCCCAAAGCACTAAACTCCAAACCTAAAGAGTTATGTGCGATAAAGCTACAAATATCATCGTATGGTTTGAAACAATCCCAGTATATGTGGTATAATTGTTTGTGTGAACAACTTTTAAAAATGGGTAAATAATCAAATGTGTCTGTGTGTCTTTGTAAAATGATCACATGATGTAGTTGTGATAATTGATGTCTATGATGATGATATTATTATTTGGACAACAAATGCAATTCGAAAAACAGTCACTTTACTGAACGGCGATATGAAATGAAAGATATTGAAAAACCAAATATTGTCTCGACTTACAAATAGAACGAGTACAAAAAAATGGGATATTTGTCCACCAATCTAACCACGCCAAAAGAATACTAAAATAATTCAATATGGACAGTTGAACATTAGATGTTGAAAATAATCCATTTCGACCTTGTGAAGAAAATAAAGACATACTTGGTCTCGAAATATATGAGTGCAATAGGAGCTCTTATGTATCTTGCTAATTGCACCAGACTAGATATATCTTTTGCTACCAACCTATTAGCAAGATATAACTCGTCACCTACAAGAAGACATTGGAATGACATTAAGCATATCTTCGGGACAACCGATTTGGGATTGTTTTACTTAAATGATAAAAAAAACATGAAACGATTGGTTTTGCAAGTGCATGATATTTATCGTACCTACATAAGGCAATATCTCAAACTGACTACGTTTTAACTATTAGTGGAACTACATTTTTTTGGCGTTCTTAGAAATAAACTTTAGTTGCTAAATCTTCAGACCATACTGAGATCATTGCACTTCATGAAGCAACTAGGGAAAGCATCTATATCAGAAACATGACTCAACATATTCAACAAGCTAGTGGATTATCGAACAATAAATATCCGACCGTGATAATCGAAGACAATGCAGCAGGTGTCGCTCAAATTAAAGAAAGATATATTAAGAGTAACAAAACTAAGCATATCCCGCCAAAGTTCTTCCCATACACTCAAGAGCTTGAAAGGAACAAACAAATCAAAATTCATTACATTCCATCAACTGATAATGCAAAAGATTTGTTTATGAAGGTGCACCGACTGACTACATCATTTCAAAAGCACGTCAACATCATTGGAATGGGACATCTTCAAAATTTACACAGATGATAACTCGAGGGAGAGCATGCGCGGTTGTACTGTTTTTTCCTTATCTCGGTTTTTTTCCCACAATGATTTTTCGGGTAAGGTTTTGGATGAGGCAACATAAACACACATTTTATAGTGGTAATTTTAAAGGGGAGTGTTGCAAATAAATGGAATTGAATTTGTTTGATCCTTGATTTTTTTAGCAATAAAGAATTTATCGAAGGTGCAATTTGATTAAACGATTCGTGAGTTATCTGATTGCTGATTAGGGAAGCCTTTTTTTCTTTCAATTTGCTCAATTCAACTTTTCAACTTTTTTTACAACTTTTACGAAATATGAATAGTGAAATGATGGGCATGAATAGTAAGACGATGGATCTGAATATTGATGAGCATGAATATGGGGTGACCAAATTATTGTGTACATAATTTTGTGAAGTGTGAGTAGAGGCTGCCTATAAAAAAGCAATCCAAATGAAGTGGAAAGATGCACTTACAAAAAGAAGAAAATATTGATTATATAATTCAGGGAACGACTGCAGTCCCGTTACGGAATGACTACAGTCTTATTACAAAATTATTCTTTCAGAATTTTAGCCATTAGGTATACATGTAGATTAGTGTAGTGTAGATAATTTACGGTTCAAAATCATGACAGACTAGTTCCGTCACATAGACATTCTCTATAATATGGAGAAAATTCTTCTTTTCATTATTAAATATATATATCTCTCTATTCTTATAAGAAAAAATGTGTGCCCTTATAAAGTTGACACGTGGCCTGTTAATGGGACAACACATGGCAGAGTGGAAATCTTGTTTTTCTTTGATTGGTTAACAACACTTTAGAGTGGAAATTAGTATAGAGTGTCACTAAAAATTCCTCCAAAGATAGTTACAAAAAAGATCTGAAATTTGTCGTAGTATCCAATAGACCCATCTTTTTAATAATTATGAATTTTAAGTATTTTACCGATATAAGATAAAGCCTAAAGGAATTGGGATAGTATTCATCTTGAATCTTTATAACTAATACTTCAGAACTGCATGGCTGTAAGATACTCATTTAAACATATTGTGGACACATCTCCTAAGCATTTGCTCTGAAGTTTTAAGGCAGGGACATGTTTGTCGTTTACTTCAGGTAATGAGATAAAGCGGTGGCAGTTTACATTGTTTCTGAGTGAACTTGTGTTGTGAGAACTATTATATTTGTGTAACATTCTTTTCATAACATTCCATGAATTAGACAGTGATATCTTCGTCAGACATTTATTGTTGTTGCTTTTTTAATCCTCATACAAGTTACATAGTGATGTCAAACAAATACGCCTTCTTTGACGGGGTAGTGTGGTGTGACTTATATTGCTAGTTAAATGTAGTATGTTTTGTATAATATTGTGCTTGTAGTATTATAAGATAAGGTAGAAAAGGCTTGTGTTTAAGACATAAGCCTTTTCCTGATATGTTTCTAAAACTATATGTTTATGTTTGGTTAAAACATATTGTTCTTTGTTTGATCTCACTTCTGGCTAGATATGTGATAGAGGTTCATATAAACATTGGAGGAAAAATCTAAAAAGTATATGAGGAAAGAAAACGAGAGATTAGTTTAAAAAACACAAACTATTTTTGCAATGTAGTTTACCATCAAAGATCATTTGAGATAAACCAAAATACTCATGCATTCGAGCTAAATATCTTAAGGCGGACCCAACTTATTCGTTGCTATTAATATCATGCTTAAAAATGGGAAAACTTGTGACTTGAAATTTGCACAATGCTGCATTTTATTCTCTTACATTTTCTTTTGTTGATAGTTCCTTCACTTATTATGATCAGCCATCTTATTTTTTACATTTGTGAAAATGGTTAGTTGGTTGGCTGGTTGGACAACGGTGTAGTTTCATCAAATGGTGACGAGAATAAATTGCACTTCAAGTTCTGTCCATCCATCTCGATCAAGTAATTCATGATTCTGAGCGTGGTGCGGTGCTCTAGATAGATGCCTTGTGAGTACCATGTCCTAAAGGGCACCTCAAAACTACTGACAAGAAAAATAGTTAAGTGCCATATGATGTACTATATGAAGAGGATGAGCGTTTGTCACTGGTGAACAACAAGAGTATCAAAGAGATTAGAGAGTTCCTTCATAGTTTGGGCTAGCGCCAATGCATAAAGCACGGTACAAATGCACTCTAATTATTATACATAGACGCACACATTGTGCGTACATTGCCGGAGTCACGTTTTCCACCTATTGAGCTTGCACTGCTCTTACGCTGCTGCAAGAGGACTTGTACGCCATTTTTTTTTCGTCTTCAAATCTCGAAATACTATTGTGTGCTTGTAAAATTTGGGAATTCGCGAGTTACGTTTTCCTTATTTTAATTTTTTTAACCATATTTTGGATCTATCATTTGTACAGGTTTTGTGAATTTGTTGCTCACTTTTTTCCGTTTAGCTTATTGAAGTCCATGAAAGCCGCAAATGTGTATGCCTCGAGTGTTTATCAAACAAAAAACACACATAAAAAGTATTTATTTTTTATTTTTTATTTTTTATGAAACCCTTGCTTGGAATTTCACATATTATAAAATATCATTTTTTAAGGTTTTATTTTGTATTTGTCGAACTGTTTT